TAGGCTTAGCAGGTTTTCAAAGGACCACAAACAGCTTTTTAGACTCCCCTTGCTCTCTGTGAGGGGCAGTCATGGGCAAGAACAACTGATCTCCGTTCATCCTGTGCGTTAGAGTGGCTATCAGCAGTTAGTCCCATTCTGTAAAACTCATAACCCATCCTAGGAACTCATCTAGAAATGTCTTGCAGCCGGTGTTTGCTCTCCTGTTGCCTATACTGGGGGCCAGACTTACTCAGATGAAGTAAGAATGTCTGCTTTGCAGAAAAGTCTGAGTTCTAGAATTCTTTTATGTTGTCTGAGTTACACCTTGTTTTCATGGCATTGTAGTACAGGCCAATGCCCAGGGGTGGCAATCCAACTTACTCTGAATTACACACACATATATACCAGTGCTTCTGCCTGGCAGCACCCCTCTGTGGGTTCACATGTTTACCAGGCATCCGTAGTTGATGGCCAAATGCCCAGGAGGATTTTTCAAAGGTATCTGGAGATCGGTTCTTCAGAGGACATTGGCAAGACAGTCTAGAATATCAAAATTGCTCAGCTGCCCTAAGCCTTTTTTTGGTAGAATTGGGGCATGGGTATATAATGTGTGTCATTGGCCTTACAACACCTGTCTGTCTTTTCCTCTCTCTTATCTCCTGTTTGCCTGTCCTGGCTCTTCAAACTCCAGGCAGCTTCATCCTTCTAGCTTTTCCTAGCACCCAACCTCCCCTGTGACCCTTCCTAGGCTTCCCATACCTAGAGAGCCCAGACTCCAGAATTATGATAGATCATCAAGAAACAGGAGGTGCTCAAAAGTTGTTGTGTTTGTTTGTTTGTTTGTTTGTTTTGTTAAAGCACAGTCTGAGGGGAAAGGGAAGTAGAAGGGGATTTAGTCACCAAACATGCTTGCAAAGACCAAGTGAAGTGAGGAACCTCAACACATTTCAAAGGGAGGGCTCTAGGCTGGAATTTGGAACTCCATTTCTGGATATGCTCGTCTTTCCTCATTTATCTTAAGACCATCCTGGGAGGGTCAAAATCAAATAAATTTTAATTGAGTTGAATTAATAACTTTACATACCAGTAGACAGTTTTACATTTTGGGAAGAAACAGAAAAATAATAATAATTACATGGTAGAGAAGCCTCCAAAAGGTTAATTTTACCTGTCATTGTTGAAGAGAAGACCTAATTTTCTGGACCAGGATTGTATTCCATTTCTTCTTTCTCAAAGACTTACTTGGAAGTTTAAAGATTCTAATGGTGGGTAGGAATTCTTTTGAATAGAAACAGAGATTTGGAAGCATGAATTAGCTAGGAAAGTGCTAGAAAAGTTAGGTAAGTCATTTCGGTACAGATGGAGAGGGAAGCATTACATATAAGGTGATTGGAAGAATTGCAAGAAAACTACCCCTGCCTGAAAGTCTTCTCACCAATTTGCTGTGATATCCATAGTTCATTCATTACACTTTGTCTTTGGGATGACCTTAGAAGTCTCAGTGTCCAGGAAGGAATAAAATAGACTTCCCTGTCTCCAGAGTTCCGTGTCATAGAGTTCCCTGAAGGTGTCAGAGCCTTATTTATTGCTAGGAAGTCTGGAGACGATGGGGAGATGGTGCCAAACTAAAGATAAACTCCTCTTGCTTTGTAATTTTTTGAGCATGGGCCTAGAAAGAATAAAATAATCTCAGTCACAAGGCTCTTGAAGCTTCCATGAGAGTAGAAATACCTAAGATCCTATACTTTGAGTCAATAGGCCCGCCTTTTCAGCCCTGAAAAAGAAGGTCTCTGCTCAGAACACACCCAACGGCTCAGAGTTCTAATGCAAAAGATCGAATCCCTAAAGCAATTGTAAAGGAATTGCCTCTCCAGGTGGGATTTTTTTCAGATTGATGGTAAGTGTCCAGGAGACCTAGGACAACTTGGACGTACAAGGAATGTTTCTGTTTTTCCAGGGTTCTGTTTTGTCCTTGGCACTGGGTCAGTACCTTCAGGATGGCCTGCTACTTTAATCCCCAGAAGTCTTCCCAAGAAACTACCATTTCACAGTTATTAAACTGTAAAAGCAACTTGGAGATGACCCATTTTAACACCCTCGTCTTACAGATGAGGACACAAGCGTAACTGAAACAACACAACTGCACAGTGCACATGTGGTTTGGAAAGCAGGAGGGCCTGGGTTGACCACTTGGCAGTTATGTGGACCTGGGAACATAATTAAATATTTCTGAACCTCAGTATCTTATTCTGTAAAGAATGTTCTTAAGGAGCGCCAACTCAAAGAAGTAACTCAAAACTTGGCCAGAATTATTATATCTGCTATTGTTTTTTAATTGAGACATGATTCATATCACATAAAATTCACTATTTTAAGGTGTACAATTCAGTGAGTATATTCACAGTCCTGTGTGACCATCATCACTCTCTAATTCCAGAACATTTCCATCACCCCTAAAAAAAGCCTGTACCTGTTAGCAGTCCCAGTTCTCCCTTCCCCCTAGCTCCTGGCAACCACTGATCTACTTCCTGTCTCTCTGGGTTTGCCTATTCTGGACATGTCCTATAAATGGAATGACATATGGCCTTTTGTGGTCTGGCGTCTTTAAACCTAGCATCACTTAAGTTATAGTGTATACTTCATTTTTTTATTGCTAAATAATATTCCGTTACAGGGATATACTACATTTTGTTTATCTAGTAGTAGGTTGATGGAAATTTGGTATAATCCCCATAGTTTTACATGGCTAGGCCAAAGCCAGAATGAGAACTTGGGTGTCTGACTCTCTCCCTTGTCCTATTTTTACTACCCCAACACTGTTTTTCATAACCTCTGGCATATGTGTTGCATTAAGAGTAGTGATTTGCTCAAAGAAACCCTTAAAACCTGACTAATAACTACTCTTAGAAGATTTTACGGAAATTTACGGAATTACGGAAATTTTTCCAGGGTGGAAAAAAAATACACAACTCAACAAAATGAAATCTAAACGCTGTAGAAAAATTGTGCTGAGAACCAAGTTTAATTTTCATTTACTAGACTTCAGTGGACTGCTTTTACCTGTTCATCTCACTGTATTACACAGAACAGCCTGAGATCTGTGTGGTACCCTTTATCTACCTGGCTTTCACATATAAGTTCATTACCATGGTTTATAACCCAGGATCAAAGAAAGTTTTTATTGATTCTGGAGGTGGTTTGAGGACCCCTCTCTCTGTTCACTCTACTTCGTGGTAAAAATTCTTCTTCAGTGAGACTGGCACTGTCATTGCATTAACCTGACCATTAGGTGTGGGTGATAACATGGCTTTGGCCCAGAATTTAGTACATTTCAAACACAGCTGATCACCTCTCCTTATAACCTGGCTCCTTCTTGCATATGGACTGCCCCAGCTCTCAGGTCTGAGCTGCAGGCCTGGGAGAGAGCAGCTAGCTTGGCATACTTGAAAAAGTTCTCCGCTTCTCACTTATTGAGGACATTGGCTTTCTCTTTGCGGGCACATGAAGACTGGAAGCAGGTCCAACTCGTTAAGGGTTTGATTGTTGACATTCTTTGCTTGTGACCGGGTGATGTGTAGAATGTGACAGCGTTCCATGGTGAAGGCATTTCCCTGGGTTCATCTGGGGTTTGCATGTCCTTAGCTTGGGCGGCGTGAGTGGAGGGTCTAGCCTAGCCTGGTTTCCTGACTTGGAGCAAGTGTGGGTTTTTCTGCTGAAGCTTTAATGGTCCCGAACACCACCAATTACTTATCTCGTTGGGTGTTCTGTCTACAGTTAGTCCTTGAGATTTGGAGCCGTTCTTGTGTGTCAGGCTTCACTCGCTTCATCTCATTTATGTGATTTCCTGCTTCTGAGCATTTGCTGCTCCTCAAGTGCATGAAACGCAACCCAAGCCGGGCTTGTCTGCTTTGAGCTAAGCATCCCTCTCCCCTCTCACTTTTCCTGGTTGACACAGTTTCCAACAGGCTTCTTGGTCCCAGTCACCCCATGTCTGCATGTTTCTCATTATGTTGGGGTTCCTCTTAATGCGATACCCCGACTGAAAATGACACTCCTTGTGCGCCAGGAACCACCCGAACTAGAACCATTATCAGGAAGTGAACTTGACGTGCGTTCAGTGTAGCGGACCGTTGACCGCTTATCGGTTGCATCTTGATCCCAGCCAGCACCCTCCCCCTCTGCTCTCTTCTCACTTCAGTGCTGTGAGGCAGAGGTCCTTCTTCTGCAGCTGATACTTTGATCCTAAGAGCAGAACCTCACATTTCTCCTCAGTCTGTTTCAGCTGTTCTTTCCCCCCAGGGACTTGCAGAGTAATTGTGGCAAAAGCATATGAATGGAGGAGTGCCTGGCTGGCTCAGTGCGACTCTTGATATCGGTGTTGTGAGTTCAAGCCTCACATGGGGCAGGTTCACTTAAAAAAAATTTTTATAGGGGTGTCTGGGTGGCTCAGTGGGTTAAAACCTCTCTGCCTTCGGCTCAGGTCATGATCTCAGGGTCCTGGGATCGAGCCCCATGTTGGGCTCTCTGCTCGGTGGGGAGTCAGCTTCCTCCTCTCTCTCTGCCTGCCTCTCTGCCTACTTGTGATCTCTGTCTGTCAAATAAATAAATAAAGTCTTTAAAAAAAATTTTTTATAAACTATGTAAATGCGAGGCTTGCATAATTCTAATAACAAGGCATCGTTGAGGAAATGGAGAATTACTGCTTTTTTTAATCCCGTGTTAAGATTGGCTCTGTGACTAGAAAAGTCCATTTCTGACTACCTACTGTAGGGTGTTTTCTTTAGTAACATCTAGTTCATGGGGGTTTTGGTTTGTTTGGGGGTTCTTTTTCACATCAGCAACTATGTAGATTAAAACAATGGCATATTGAGCCTCTGTAGGAAGCTCAGTACCTCGGTTACCTGGGCAGGTGGTTAATCACATGGGTCCCGTGTGGGCTGCTGAGTGCACCAGCCCAATGCGCCAGTCAAGAACGCTGTTCTGGGGGTGTTAACCGGCACGTCTGTGTTTGTTGCAGTTACCTGGCTGAACAGTGCTGGAATGGCGGCTTCATCTACCTGATCATGCTGCGCCGGTTCAAGCACAAAGTCCACTCTCCTTACAATGGCAGCAGTAGCAACAGCTCTGAACCAGGAGAGACACCGACCTTGGAGCTGGGTGACCAAGCTGTGAAAAAGGGGAAACGAGCAAGAAAGTTTGGAGTCATTTCCAGGCCTTCTCCCCAGAAGGCCACTGAAGAACCCAAGAGCGGTCCTGGCTGTGAGTTGGACAATGACCCCATCTCTGAGTCGGACAATGGCCCAGACCCTGAACTTGGAAATGGTCATGCTTTTGAACTAGAAAATGGCCCAGAACCTCTCAAGGAGCTGGCCGGATCCCATCTAGACAGTTCAGAAGCAGACAGAGGGACGGAGCATAGCATTCCAAAGACAGATGCTTCTCTACCCACAAGCAATGACAAACGCCGCTTCTCAAAATCTGGGAAGACAGACTTCCAATCGAGTGACTGCCTGGCACGGGTAAGCTTTGCTTTGATTATAGAGCCTGAATTTTAAAAGAAATACTGTTGAAGTTGCTTTTAAGGCTTAGAAAATATATCTAAGATGGCCTTGTATTTAGAAGCCAACACATTTATTATGATAAATTGTCGGAGGACAGACAATAACAAAAAAAAAATTCAAATCATTTTGTCCTACTTAAATAAAGAGCTAGTTGAATGATGCTAAGTGGAAAATTCAAGCCTTCTGTGGCATAATTTGAGTCATATGAGCCCCAGATAAAGTACTTGAACCGCATCATTATTTATCACTACCGTCCCCAGTGGAATTGCCACGGCAAGGCCAAGGATTCGTGGTGGCAGCTGATAGCATGAACATTTGAGCCTCAGCACTACACAGGAAGGATGTTCACCATGCAGAGAAGCATCTGCTTTTCTTTTTAACACTTCAAAACCAGTGACATTTTTATGGGTTCATGTTATTAAATTGCTGAATTCCAGCGAAGTTTAGAAATTTCACAGAAGTCTCTGATACTCTGATATCCAGCTGTGATGGTCAGGGTTAGTCTTCCCTAAAGGCAAAGCAGATGTGGTATACTCTGAATGGTGCTGGGTACACTTCTAGCCCCAAACCACCTCCTTCGTTATAACCTGCATTCTCTCTTGAAGTGAAATAGCTCTAGGGTAAGCATGTTCCTTCCAAGATTCCTCTTGGCACATATTCTTGTGGGTTCCTAATGAAGCAGTTACTTGCTACGTGGTTTCTGATTGGTTTCCTCTCTGAGTCCCTCCATGAGACACCCTTTTGGGATGGAAGAGGAAGTTGGAAAGATAGAAAATGGGCACAGAAGAAGTATCAAGTTCAGCTTTGCATACTGCTGAAATGGTGCCCTGGCAGTGAATAGAATTTCTAGTAAGGCTGTTTCACACATCTCTCTGTAATCACAGCTGATCTGTTTAATGAGAGGAGAGGAATTAAAATAACCCCTCTCTCGGAGGACCGTGTTCCTTCTTCGGAGGTTCTCAGTGATCTTCATAAAGCCTTACCCAGAGGAGGCATGATTTGTAGATGGAATGTGTAAATGAAGGAGAAGAAAAAAGTAATGTCTCTATCAATGATTCTCTACAAACTTTATGGTCCCTCTCAAAAAAGAATTAAGGGCAATAAGATTATAATGTGTTTCTTATTGGTAATACTCTACTTGGATATGACTTTTTCTCCAAATGATTAAATTATGAATACACAGAAAGCCTAGAGTGAGTAAGTTAGGGAGTGTTGGTTCTCTTAATAATTTTGAAGGTTTAAGTTCCAGAAGAGATTGAATCTCATATATAGTCCAAAGAACAGGATTTCATTTGGAAATAATTTGGAAATGACTTTAAAAGGAAAAAAAAAAAAGCGTTTAAGAGGCTACTATTCTCTGCTCATCTTAACTAAAGGCTGTAACATAAAATTGAATTTCTGGATTAGACTATCTGAAGGCTACACGTATCAGAGTTTCTTTGCCTGGTTTTTGCACTCAAGGTCAAATGTTCAAGAAGATATAAATGAAATGGTGATTTAAAAAAAAAAAAACTAGGTCTTTTGCTTTGGGGACATTTTTCTAAAACCACGTGCCAACAGAAAGAAGAGACCTGCCCTCTGGAATTTGCATTCTTCATAACTGTCCGTAATCTGTAGGCTGAATATTGACCCTGGGTTATACTTTCCATCTTAGAAAGTCAGCATGGGCCACACATCCTTTCAGGCATGAATAAATTTTAGCACCCTTTTCAACCCCAGAAGCATCATCGTTTGATGCACGTACCCCGGATTGATTGAGTTGGCAAGAAGTAGGTCTTCACAGCTTCCCCCACATCCAGGTAGCACCCAGATTGGAACCAGTAGACCATCACAGAAGGTCCTGTAGGTTCTTGGGCTGAGGAGATTTTTATTTTTATTCTGGGATGAGCCCAAGGTCATACTAAAATGGAATTTCCAGGAAAACAAAAATTAGGTATTTACCTCTTAAGCCCTTGGGGTAAAAAATTCCATTCCATTTGAATAATGGGAGATTAAACATGTCAGCATTGTTCTGTTTCTGCTTTATTAATGATTTAATATATCTACAAAGACTTAATAAATTACAGAAAAGGCTTATAATCATTCAGCCCATTTTTGTTTGTCAGATGCTTCTTTTTCATAGACTGTTATTTGTAACATGAAAATAAATCTTCAGTCTTTGTTTTCATATCCTCTTTCCCTTTAACAGAATTATAGGACACGTTTCCTCTAATAAATATCTTCTTTTTAAAAAGCCATATGTTTCTATAAAATATTAACACATAATAATACATATGCAACCAGATTAATCTTTTAAACTATAAAAGTGGGCCCATTGTCTAAAACATAATCTCTTAGGACATAGATAAGAAATTTTAGAACTGAGGTCAGAGTTCCTTACTCCCTGTCTAGGGAAGACCATTGCTCATCCAAGGGGAAAGTTCTTGCAAGCCTGTTTACTACAGATGTGTGTTTTTTTAATGCAGCATGGTCAAAAATACATACAACTTAGTCACATCACAGTGAAAAAAAGAATCCTACTGTTTGCCAGCCAGGCAGATTTATTCATAGCTGGTGTGTGTGTCTATGGGTCCATTTGTGGTCTCCCCCTAACACTTGTAATTCACCCTGATCACACCCAGGACATCTCCTGAGTCCTCCCTGATGTTTGCATCAAGCAGAAACAGTATGAGGATGGCCCTAGTCTAGTAAGCCCCTCCATGGTCACTGGATGAACTTCTATCCTTCTATGTGGTAATGTCTCTTCTCAGTCCGTGTCTGCTCCTTTACCTCTCTCCTGTGCCCTCCACCCCGAGCTTTCCACCACCAGCCTATAGTACATTTCCATCTTGCATATCTCACATCATGCCTAAAACTCGATGCATGACTTTCCCGCACCGCCAAGCCGGCACCGGTATTCCAGGTCCTGCCACCTGTAAAGTTGCCCAAGCCAGAAACCTGAGATTCCAACTAGCAGTCTCTCACCTGGTTTGTCTAGAACTTTCCCTAGTTTTGTGTAGACCACCCCACATCCCAGGAAATGCCTTCATCCCAGCAAATTGGGACAGTTGGTATCCTGAAGTCAACTGGAATGCTGCCCTCTTCCTTCCCCCCTGTCCGGCTGATCACCAAGTCCTGTCCGTCCCGGCTCCCCTTGGGATCTCCCCACACACCTCATTCCTCTCTCCCACTCCCGCAGCTCTCTGTCTGGGCCAAGCTGCTTTCATTTCCCACGTGGGCGGTCATAGTATTCTGCTGCCCATCCCACTGTCCAGTGTCATCCCGTCATCCGCTGTCCCCACGGCAACCAGAGAGACCTTTCTAAAGAGCGCATCAGGCGCACGCGTGCGCGCTCACACACTCCACAGCGTAAGCCCTCTGGGTGGGTCCACTTTACCTTCAGAGTAATACCTGAACTCTGTAGCTCGGTGAGGCTCAGGAGGTCTTTCACTGTCTGATCCCTACCTAACCTTTTGCCTTAGTCTCTCACTGCTTTGTTCCTGCCCTGTTTGGGCTGAATTAGCCACAATTTTTTCCAAAAGACTGTGCTCACTGTCTCCTCTGAACCTTTGCTGCTCTTGCTATCCGGTTTCTCCTCCCCTCCCCCGTGCAGCTTAGCTTCTTCCGCTTCTGGGGGACAAAACACCATGACACAATCCTCTAGGAGGCTTCCGTGACCCTTCTGCCATCTGTCCCATCTCTAGATATCTCCTCTTTGGGCTCCTACGGTGCCCCTTCTCGGTCTTCTTCAATGCATGAATCCCACATACTCTAATTACCATGTGGCTTGTCGTGTCGCCAGTAGACTTGGAAGGGCAAGGACCTTTTTGTCTTTGTGTCCTGGCTCATTGCCTTGCACCTGTAGGTGCTCTGCAGATGTTTATTAATGAAGGCATCTGGAAGCTCCGGGCTTGAGAGACGGGACACCAGGTTCTACCCCTAGTTCTTCCTCCCCCACTCTGTGGCCATCAGGCTGCCCGTTCTTCCTCTGAGCTTCCATCTCCTCACCCATAAACTGAACATTTTGGTCTGATGACTCCAGAACCACAGCTCTGACATGGGTCACATATCTTTTCATTTCTGACTGATAGTTGTAAATAAGAAGGGACAGACAAACAGCCTCAGAATCTAAGTCTGCAACTAGCGCCAGACGATATGCTGCAGTAAAATTCTAGTTGGATGATGTTTCTTCTCACATTTGGAGAAAAGATGTGATTGTGAAATATTATTTTTGGTTCCAGCAGAAGATGAGGTCATTTAAATGCTGCTGAGACAGCTCCCTTTAATGTACCACCTCTGTTTTGTAAATAAATCCCTTCTCTTTTTTTGCCTCTCTGAAGAGATGCCTGTGTGAGCATCACACAGTAATTGCCGTTTTATAGGAAAGGGTAGCACTTTGACAGCATTAATACAAAAGTCCATGGCAACCAGTTTTGCGTGGTTTGGCTTATTCTCAACAGGCTGACAGAGTCTCATTGCCCTTTAAGCCAGTGTAAAAGGAAGCAAAGGCTTGAGCCATCTGTCTAGACAGGATCTGTTTCAGAACTCAGTCGTCTCTACAACTGGATTGGGTGTTCACACACTAAACATTGGCAAACATGCAGGTTTCCCATCTGGGCAAGCCTCTTAATGTCACTCTCAATAACTTCTGAAAAACCATAAGATTAGTATATAAACATCCTGTATTTGTTAATTCCGTGGAATTTATGCAATATTGTTATATGCTAGGCACTGTTCTAGTTGCTGGAGAACCCGTTGATAAATGAGAGACAAGGTTCTATCCCGGTGCATTTATCACAGAGAAGGGGCCACAAGCAATTAACAAGCAAATAGCTGAACCTAAACATTATGTGGTGAAACAGGTACTATAAATGAAACAAGCAGTAAAGTGAAAGGTGCCTGGGCTGCATCCTGGTGGGGAGTTAGCAGAAATAGGTACCAGTGAAGACCTCCTTAAAGAGGCAATGTTTGAGCTGAAGCCTGAGTGTCAGGAAAGGGAAGCCTTGCAAAATCTGGGGGCGGAATATTTCCAGGGAGGAGCCAGCCCTTGCAGCTGTCCTAGGCAGGAGTGATGGAGTGTCCCCGGGGGCAGAGAGACCGAAGCACAGTGTGTGTGGAGAGAGCACGAGGAGGTGGTTTGGGAGCATGGGCGGGACTGGATGGAGAGGTTTGGGTGCGCCATCTCAAAGATTCAGACCCCAGTCTGAGTCTAGTAGGAGCTGTTGGAAGGTTTAAGCTGAGTGCATCATGATGTATGTATTTTAAAAGTTCACCCTAGAGGGGTGCCTGAGTGGCTTAATCAGTTAAGCCGCAAACTCTTGATTTCACCTCAGGTCATGATATCTGGGTCCTGGGATCGAGCCCCACATCAGGCTCCATGCTCAATGGGGAGACTGCTTGAGATTCTCTCTCTCTTCCTCTGTCCCCGCTTATGTTTTCTCTCTCCCTCTAAAATAAATAAATCTTTAAAAAAAAAAAAAATTCACCCTAGATGTATAATGGAGAATAGGAGATTGTAGGCGAACAAAAAATAAAAAGGGAGATCAGATTGGAGGCTACTGTACTAACCCAAGCTAGAGATATTGATGATCTTGGCAGCGGTGGTGGCCAGAGAGCAGAAGTAGATGGATGTGGGTGTGTTTCGCAAGTAGAACCCACAGATCTTGCTTATGATTTGCATATAGGAAATCAAAGGAGGAATCAAGGATAGCTTGTGGGCTTTTAGTTTGCATATCCTCTTTAGCTTAAGCAGATGATGGTGCCTTTCCCTTGGAGGTGGGAAAGCCAGGAGTGAGAGGGGGGCAGTCCTGTTTTGACCATTCTGAAGTGTGTTATTAGATACCCAAGTGGAATTGTAAGGGGGCAGTTGGAAATATACTTCATATTATCATATTTAAGTTGGCCTGTTGATTTTTTGCCAGTGCCAGGTTTAGCCTCATAAACTTCAGACGCCGATATTATTTGTAACTGAACACTGCTTTTAGCCGGGGGCAGCTAGATTTAATGCCGACAGTTGGACAATTGAGACTGATAACATCTGCCTCTTTCTTCCTGTTTGTGCCTTCCTTTGTGTACCTCTGAACTCCTCATTAGATGATCAAGAAATTCCAGAGCAGGGAAACTTGCATGGACTTCTTTGAACTCCCCGCTTGAGTTACTACTTTCAGTTATGGAGGGAAAAACTCATGCTACTGGATAAAAGTGAAAACGAAGATCTGCTTCTTGATTAGCGTACTTGGGGGCTGTATTACAGATTGGTCATCCCTGCCCTCTGAAGCCATTTTTTTTTTTAGATATGTGTTTTATTTTACATTCAGCCATTTATGTGTATATGGGTATGAAGAGGACACGTGAGTGCTCCTAATGAAAACTGTCTTTAGTTCTTTCATAACGAGGATACATTAAGTCATTACTCTTCCTCCATGATCATAGTTTTGCATGTCTCTTACCACAAGTTCTATTTCTAAAAGCATTTAAAAATGAGAAAGGATTGTGTATCAAGTATTGTCATACTCTGTAAACCATACGTAACATGTTCTGTTTAACAAAAAGACAGTAAGATGGGGGAGATGATGGTGCAGCTTGTAATGGGATGGATAGGTTTTTACTAATTTGGGCAAAAACCCAATGGATTTGCTCATTTCTGGACTCCAATAATGTTGCCTGTTGCTTTGGGGAAAGGATTTCACAGCTTTTCTGTACTGGGCAAAGAAGGAACACTGTCCCATATCTTTAAGACCCTAGTAGCCATGGCATATCTTCCATGGAAAGGACATCTCAAGCCACCTTTATGCCGTAGTTTCTCAGCTACTTTGTTAGGCCCAGGGAGGCAGCCATAGGTCTACCCTCGTGCTAAAGTGGGACCCCAGTAAGCCAGGACAACAGCTAGTCAGCACATCCCTGAATTTGTTCCCTTTGGGCTATCTACTCGGCCACAGCACCTCATATACTAGAAGTGTTGAAATTTGCCATCTCATCAGTAGCACTGACTCTCAAGGATGGCTTTTTGGAAATAGTGGAGCTGTGAGAGGCTTTGAAGGCCAGGGACGTTATTTCTGAATGGAGAAGAGAAAAAGGTGTTCCAGAGGTCAGAGGCAACAAACCAAAAACCATGGAGTCCAAAGTGAAGTGACTGGATGATATAGGGATTGTTGACAAGTTCATGAACGAGTGTGGTAAGCCAGTGACTTCTGAAGTTAAATTTGGCCAGACAGGCATCGTTTGTCTGTGGTCAGCAGATGAGGGAGACCGTTGGCACCACTGCACGTTCCCGGAGCCGTGGACCCCCACGGAGCACGGCTGTGCTGGAGAAAGCAGAGGATCCAGCAAGTCGCTGTCTGTTAATAATTTCCCCAGACATTCCTATTGCTGCACATCCATGACTGTTTAACATCTGGTTTTTTTACTATTGCATAAAGTTTCATTTTAGTCTCTGACGGTGTGTATTTCAGATTTTCTGAATACCTCACATTCTTCCTGTTTTGTATGCAGCTTAAATGGGAAGGTTGCCTCTTTCTAGGAGGAGGATGGCTTTGTCCATATTGGACCTTAATGGTTCCATCAGACCTTCGTGATGGATGAGGAAAGGACATGGTTTTTGTTTTATATGTTGAGGAATGCATTGTGACCAATACCCATAGATCTAGAGAGAAAAAGAACTTACAGGAGTTAGCCTAACATAAGACCCCCCCCCAAAGTAAATCACCTTGGGAGGTTTTGCTTTCATTTCTCTGAAAAAGCAAGTATCTGAAGGAACTCAAACATTTTACATCGGCTCATGTCTGCATCCTCAGGGTAAAATAGGGAGTCAAGTGAAGAATTAACCAAAGCAGAAAAACTACCAGCAGTCCAGAGGACTTAGAGACACGATGAGTTTTTTTAAAGAATAGATTTTTATAAGGGTTGAAGCATGTTTTAATGTATTTAAAGAGTGTATAGACCAATGTCTACAGAAGCCAATAACAAGCTCATCAATTAATTTCCTGTTTTGGTTTCTCCCACCAAAGATCTCATTTTTATGTTCTACGGAGGTTTGAGATTCAATTCAACATGATGGGTTTTTGTTTTTTTTTTAATGATGTATAGTAGACACACAATGTTACATCAGTTTCAGGTGTACAACGTAGTGATTGGGCAACTCCACATTATGCTACACTCACCGCAACTGTAGCTACTATTTGTTACAATGCAGCACTATTACAGTACCATTGGATATATTACAGTATGATGGTTCTACCATATGTATGTGCATATACAGATAATATAACGTTACCAGTCAACATTTATTATGTCTCTACTAGGTGCCAGAAGCATTGCTGCTTCCATAAACATCTCATTTACTCCTAATGACAAACCTGAAAGTATTCATAATTATCCCCACTTTAGAGGCAAGGAAAGGGTTTTAGGCATAAAGACTTTCATCAGTACTAAGTGGCAGAGCTGGGCTCAAATTAGTTGACGTCTCCCAGCACCAAGGCCTATCTTTGCCCTCCTTTCATCTTCTTTCATCTTCCTTTATTAATTAGTAGCTGTGTGTAAATAAATGGAACCCAGACACAGCCAGCGTTTACACACACAGTGGTGTCCAGGTTTCAGGCAGAAGAAGATTTATTTAACAGCATCCCGGTCAGGAAATTGGATAATCACTTTTGCCATCCAATATTTAGCCACTTGCCACAGGTAGCTATTTAATTTAATTAAAACCAAATGAAGTAAAACATTTAGCATCTCAGTTGCTACTACCCACATTTCAAGCACTCTATAGCCATATGTGGCTAGTGACTCCCTGTTGGATTATGCAAATATAGAACATTTCCGTCATCATAGAACATTCTGTTAGACAGGACTGGCAGCTAGAGACTCCGATCCAGCACACGGAGCTTTTTCTTCTGCGGTCATCTGCAACACCTGTTGACAATTGATGGGTATTTGGCTTGACCTAACAGTTCCACTCTCCTGGGTCAACGCCATGTGTCTGTCCATATACTTCATAGTGTGCTCACTCTTTCTTCGAAGGAGGAAGTTGGCCGGATATGGAAGATGGAGCTGCTTAAAGAATCGGATGGGCTGGGAATTCAGGTTAGTGGAGGCCGAGGATCAAAGCGCTCACCTCACGCTATCGTTGTCACTCAAGTGAAGGAAGGAGGTGCCGCTCACAGGTGACTAGATAACTCTCCCTTTTTCTCTGCCTCCTTATCCTCTCCCTTCCCTTCCTCTGGGCATAGGACTCTTCCACTTGGTCAAAGCCCTGGTAATTACAGTTCATATAAAATATGCTGGAGCATGGAAGAAAATCAGGCATGAGCAGTTCCAATTAAACACACCTCTGGGCACAGGAAGTGGGTAATTTGCTGGAGTTGGTGCAGGCTCCTCTGAATCAGAAGAAGAGATCAGATTTCTTTCTAATCTGTTTTGAGTTTCAAGTGATGGCTACTTATCCTGACTTTTGAGATACTGGTAATATGTGGTTCCCTATTAAAATCATGCTACGCAACAGAACACCACATTCCTGACATCTTAACCCCCATAAGATCATGGCTAATGACTTGAGAAAGTAATTGCTTTTAAATGTGACCACAGTTCATGTGCTGTGTCAGGTCCACCAGGATTCAACACGCAGTTATATACGTGTGTCATGGAGATGCCAAGGGGAAAAAAGTAAATGTGAATTTTTCTCCTTGTGACCTGAACAATTCATACTTCAAAACATGTTTTTTTAATCTTAGCTATCGTCTTCAGTAGGAAGAATGACAGTGCTTAGGCAGAGCATGTACAAAGAAGTCCATTTGGAGTTATAAGGATGTAACTGTCCCAAACTGTACGCGTGCTTTTGCCTTGCTAGCTGATTGCTTCTGTGTATATGGGGTGTCTACTGTTGGCAAGGCACGCTGGGGTGGATGCACATGTGTGTGCCCTCACATATGCAGTGAGTGTATAAAGGTAGAGTTTCCCAGATGAGGGAGGTAAACCTAGTTGGGAATTTGGGGTTCAGTCCAGGTATCATCGCTATAAGGGGGATAGGGCAAACCAGAGTGGCGTTGGCCTGCCTTAGACCGAGACGGCTTTGAAAAATATATCTCATGAAGTGGACCTGAAGGAACCAGAGGCAAAGATTGGAAGACAAAGGAGAGGTCAAGGGTACAAACTATCAATGTGTGTCATGTCCCAATTTTAGTCTCAGAGTAAGATGCTAACAACTAGAGATAAGAATGACTGCACTTGTCAGTTACCTGGGCAGCAGTCATTATGGAAGGATTAAGACCTTAGTTTTTATCCAGAAAAGCATCACTAAATTTCCCACATGAGATATGCTTTGAGGAACTCCCATCAGATAACCATTTTCCCATTAATCCTAGGTCTTAGGTTCTAGCATGTCTTTGGAAAGTTGACAATTGGGAAATTCCTGTTCCCAGAGATAAACTTATATAGAACTGTTCTTGTCTGTTTTCTATTTGGGCTGTTTCTAGTGGGTTTCACCATTTTCTCTTCACCCTTAGCCTGGAGTTGTGTGCATGTATCTCTCTGCTTCTGGAGTATATAATTCAAATGTGGGGCATTCTAGCTAATAAAAGGAGATGAGACGAATGGAATTGAAAAGGGAAATAAGAAAAAGGAAGGGGGTAGGGATGGTCTTGAGTAAGTTCAAGAACACTGGTCAGAACTTTGTATTCTGTTTTAGTCCTGAATCCCTCTCTTTCTTGGTGGCCACCCACATGCCTCCTTGAGGTTCTCTGTTGGCTTCCTATTCCCCTTCTCTTTTCAGTCTAAGCAACTAAAAGGGTTCTTAGTATTTTTCTGCTTTAAGGATTGTTGAAGGACAGAAATCAGAGGCTATCAGAAGTCTCCGATGCCTCATATCTTCGTGAAAGCCTAAATTCATGGAAAAGATTATAATGCATGCCCTAGAGAACTGAGAGGAAAACTAATGAGGGAGGAAAGGATGGAGAGAAGCTGGTTGATTTGCTGAAAGAAACCAAGGTGGAAAGAGTCGACAGATTGGAGAGAAAGCTGCGTGAATCTAGGAATATTGCAGACAGGCAAAGGTCCCCAAGCAGCACCTTGGGTGTTGATGGAAAGCCTTCAGGGGGGATGGTGGAACCCTAGGCTTAGGGATCACCCCCCTCAGATTTCCTGTACCATATTTAACAATGGAGATGAAAAACCTTTGGCCCCTTTGGGATCATGGAGAACTAGACCATTGGAGGTTCAACGGGAACCCACTGGACTGTTGATCCATCATGATTGAGGACACCTGCACGATGCCCTGGCAAGTGTGCCACCCCAGGACCTTGACCCCGCCTAGTGCAGGCAGCCCCAGCCCAGTGGGAAGGAAGCTTTAAGTTAGTTATAATTTACTTTGGAGGAATAAAGGAACACATTTGTAGACCAGGTCTGATACCTGCAATAGCAGTCAATTGGTCAGTCTGTTCAATTTTGTATTCATCCTCCTGAGGAAGCCAGGCTGTAGGATGGAAATGGCGGTGAGAGGCTCTATCCTCAAGGTCCTATAACTCTGTGTGTGTGTTGGGAGCGGGGGGACCACAAGCACATGCACATCTGCAGCGCACCAGGTGCCACAGAGGAAATCTGGCCAGGGCCATGTCACCTGGAAAGAGAGAGGACAGCAGGTTAGAGAAGGCTTTCTGTTGAGTCTAAGATACCTTTGTCTGGGCGCTTAGCTCAGTGACTAAGCTGCCAACTCAGTTGCGAGGACAGGATGGCGTTAGGATTGAGAATGGATGGAATGACTAGACTATCCAAAAACCTTGGGGGTCTCAATTCCTCTGTCATTGTGTCCCCCTGGACGGGAGGCATTTCATTAAGGTTGATGCAGGGAATGGTAGTGACTTAAGAGCTTGCTCGCTGCCAGGTGATCGTGTGAAATCATGGAGCTTCCCTAGGTGGGCATCGGGACCCAGCCAGACCAAAGGAAACGTCCCAGCCCAAACTGTTGCTGGCCATCTCTGCTTTTTCCTTAGCCTGATTTTAACTGTGCCCTCTCACGACCCTCCCCAGCTCCAGGAGAATGTCCCTTCTCAAGTCCAGAATATCTTGACAAGGGATTTTTTTCCCCCCCGTCTCCATTTCCTCAGGGACGGCAGACTGTCCTTAGGAGATGAGCTGCTGGTAATCAATGGTCACTTACTGGTGGGGCTCTCCCATGAGGAAGCGGTGGCCATTCTCCGCTCCGCCACTGGAATGGTTCAGCTGGTGGTAGCCAGCAAGGTAGGTAGTTTGTTTTTGGTTTTAGTTTTTAATATTTTTAATATTAAAATCGGTGGTGAATTTGGATTTGAGCCCTCCCCCCACACACTCACACACACTTTGTGCCACACACACTCACTCCACACCTACTTGCAAGTTTACCGGTGCCATTTAAACGGCCGTGATTCTCCAGGACAAGCCCATGTGAGCAGCCTTGAGCTGAAATATTTAGTAGAAGGAAGAGCAGTAATAGGACTAAGGAAATGGGGCGGGGGGGTGGTAGGGAGGACAGAAGGACAAGGTAGAGAGAGTAGCACCTCTTCCAGGGAGAAGCCAAAGAGGAGACATGGATGTCCACTGGGCGGCAGGGGTGCAGGAAAGGTGTGGAGCTGCACCTCTCCCAGGTCCTGGAGGAGGAAAGGGTGCCAATGTCCTGGGCCCCCAGCATCCACTTTGTCCCCTGGTGTCACCAGCCTCAGTGCCCTGGATAAAGGCTGCAGGCTTCTTCAGTAGTGTGACCAGAAAGAGGAGGACCTGAGCCCACTTGCTTCTGCTCCACGGTCCCCTCTGCTGTTGATAAGACAGGAAGGCGCCCACAGGCCTCAGGAGTTAGTGCGAGGGAGCAACTAGGCTTCGTTCTCATGCATGGAAGCACTGATGGGAAGCCATCCCAGTCCTAACCCTTCACAGCAACACACTCCTGCCAGTAGGACTCATTCTTTCCTCATTATTCCTAGTATTTTTTTGAACCTAACATCCACAGGTTTTTTCTATATTTTCTCTCTTAGATTACAAGGTATGTTGCCTATTTTTGGAGTATTTAATAATTAGAATATTTTGAACTATCTGAAAAATCTGTTTTCCTCCTTTTACACCTGTCACCAGTCTGTTAACCTGGACTCTCGGGCTTCCAACAGCAACACAGAGCCTTGGCACAGACTTGGGAAGAAGGGTTGGCATTGAGGCCCTGGAGACAGGGGCTGAGACCATCTCCACTCACAGGCCCCCTCCTCCCCTCCCAGAGATACCATGGGGCGCCCTGATGTCTCCTCACTAGGGACAGGAAGGAGAGCAGAACAGGGATGTTCCCTCTCAGTCTGTTGAATTCCATAAGAGGGAAATGCTGGAAGGGAAGGACAAGCAAGTTCCCTTTCAGCCAGAGGTGATGGGGTTTGAAAAGCACCATCGGGTCTTAAACACTCACACAGACTGAGGCCTGTGTTTGCACAGCCCACCTCCCCACAGTCTGTGGCTCAAGAATGGGGGGTGTGGGTGGCGGGGTTTCCTGCACAAGCATACCATGGCCACCAAACCTTTATTTCTATACTGACTTCTTTCTCCTGCTAGTTCAGAAAATGGGGAAGAGAAAACCTTTTCTAGGTCAAGCTGTTCCCCACAAACACATGAACACAAATCATAAAATAAAAACAAAAAAGGTCCACTTATCACTTGCTTATACCATACATAAAAATAAATTTAAAAATGGATGAAAGACCTTAATGTAAGACAGGAAACCATCAAAATCCCAGAGGAGAGCACAGGCGGCAACTTCTTTGGCTTCGGCGGTAGCAATTTCTTACTAGACACGCCACCACAGGCGAGGAAAACAAAAGCAAAATGAGCTATTGGGACTTCATCGAGATAAAAATCTTCTGCACAGCAAAGGAAACAATCAACAATTAAAAGGTGGGCTACAGAATGGGAGAAGAAATTTGCAAATGACATATCTCATAAAAGGTTAGTATCCAAAATCTACAAAGAACTTCTCAAACTCAATACCCATAAAAACAAACAACTCAGTTAAGAAATGGGCAGAAGACATGAATAGACACTTTTCCAAAGAAAACATCCAGATAGCTAACAGACACATGAAAAGATGCTCAATATCACTCATCATCAAGGAAATACAAGTCAAAACCATGATGAGATATTACCTCGCACCTGTCAGGATGGCTAAAATTAACAACACAGGAAACAACAGATGTCGACGAGGATGTGGAGAAAGGGAAACTTTTCTTATACTGTTGGTGGGAATGCAAACTGGTGTAGCCACCCTGGAGAACAACATGGAGGTTCCTCAAAATGTTAAAAACAGAATTAACCTACAGTCCAGCAATTGCAGTACTAGGCATTTATCCAAAGGATCCAAAAATACAGATTTGACGGGGTACATGCACCCCAGTGTTTATAGCAGCGTTATCAACAATAGCCAAACTATGGACAGAGCCCAGATGTTCATCAACTGATGAATGGATAAAGAAAATGTGGGCTCGTGTGTGTGTTTGTGTGTGTGTGTGTGTGTGTGTGTGTGTGTGTACAATGCAGTATTACTCAGCTATCAAAAAGAATGAAATCTTGACATTTGCAATGACAGAAATAGAGCTAGAATGTATTACGCTAAGTGAAATAAGTCCGTTAAAGAGAGACAAATACCATATGATCTCATTCATATGGGGAACTTAAGAAAGAAAATAGATAAACATATGGGAAGGAGGAAAAGGAAAAAAGGAGAGAGGAAACAAGCCATAAAATACTCAACAGTAGAGAACAAACTGAGGGTTGACTGAGGGAGATGGGTGGGGGATGGGCTAGAGGGGTGATGGGCATTAAGGAGGACACTTGTGAAGATGAGGCCTGGGTGTTGTGTGTAAGTGATGAATCACTGCGTTCCACTCCAGAAACCAGTATTGCGCTACCTAAAATTTAAATAATAAAAAGTCAACTCATGGGTAAGCATAATTAAGGAGCATATAAGGGGGTTTTGAAAGCTGGTTTCCTGGATGATGCCTGATCTGTGATCTCACTCACTGGCTCAAAGAATGGACATTAACATGTATCAGGTATCCACAGGGTACAGGGGCTTTCTCCCTCTGATCTCATTTAATTCTTGAAACCCCATGAGAGAGGTATTAGTTCTTTTTATTCAAAAGATAACATTAACATCTAAGTGGTTAATTCATTTCCCTGGAGATCACACAAGCAGTGGGGGGCAGAAACAGGTTTCATCGTGGACCCATAAGTTTCATGCTTCTTCCTGTACGGAAAGCTGCCTCTTATCAAATAAGATATGAAGGACACGGAGCCAATGGCATTAGAGAAGGGTCATGTGTTCCTGCCGGAGGCTTTGACTTTAGGGACATGCACTCGACCTACTGTCCTTGACCAACTGCACTGAGCAATAGGCCTAAAGATGACCAGACCGCAGAGAGGTAATACCCTTCATTTCTTCCCATAGGCTCCGCTCACGGCAATACGTTGCTATAGCAGCTGCCCACTGTTTGTTCCTAAACTGAATCCCCACCCTCTTAAGATGCTCAACCACCTTGGAGAGAAAAGTCTTTCCACACCTCTTGGCATCCGTGCCTCTTTGTTACCCAACAAGAGCACGCAATCCAGAGTCTTTGTTTTGTCTTCACATTTGAAGGGGGGGGGGGGAGCATTTGATTTGCTGAGTACAAAGAATAATAAAAAATGTAAATTATTATTGTAGGAAGTAGTCACTTTGTCACCAAACTTTAGGACATTGTTTTGAAAATATAACCATGACTGTCTTCGGGACAGGCTGTCTCATGTCTCCATACAAATAGGTTGTTTGCTTGTGCATAAGAACTTAGAAAGGTTTGTCAAATGAATGAAATCAGAATTTCCCAGTGTGCTTTGCTATCCCAGGAAGCACGTGCTATCCACACAGATTTCTCTCTCTCTTTAGCACTCTCAGATTTTATTAGCAAGTAATATGCATTTATTATGTCTATGTAGAAAACCTAGAGGAAAAGGAAGATAACGTTTTCATAACACCACCAGTACTTCTACCCATTACCTGATCTGTCTGTCCAGGCGTGTTTTCTATTTTTAACAGACTCAAGCACAACGAGACAGAATGCCCCTGGGCATCAGAGCCAGCACAGCCCTTTAAAAGCTGTGTGTCTTGAACAAGTTGTTGCATTTTTTTTTAAACCTTGGTTTTCTCACCCGGACGGTGAGAATCAGTAACTACTTCATGGAATGTCAGGGAGATTAAGTGAAATGTAAAAGCCCGAGCAATGCAGCTGGTTGCAAGAAGCACTTAGAGAAATGTTTATCACATATTACGACACCCAGCTAATTGTTAATGTCCATTAATAAAATGATAATACTGTTTTTCACCTGCTTTTTCACTAAGTAGCATGCCATAAGAATCTTTCCGCATCGGAAAGTGCATTTCTGTGGCACCAGTTCTAATGACCGTGGAGTCTTCTATCCTGTGGCTGTTGTGCCATTTACTCACGAGCTGGGACCTTCATCTCTTTTAAAAACTCGTTTCCATTAATGGTCTAGTAGAGCTGACCTCACAGAAGAGGGCTGAACTCACTTTTTGCTTCATAGCTTTTACCTTCCCTGAGGTAGAATCTAACTATAGTATTCACACTTACTGACCTGACATGAAGGAGCTTTGGGTGCCTACAAGGTGGGACTCGTGTCAAACTAGTAACAAACGTCACTGTCACCAGGCGCCCACTCACAAATGGTCTTTAATAACACCCGTTGTTGAAGATGGGTGTCTTCTGTTATACTCCTTTCTGTCAAGCCCCGGGGAATATGGCGACCAAAGCTTTCCACAGGCTTCCTTCCTTGTAAAAATGACTGGTGTGAGAGAAGGGAGGACACATTTCTCTCTTTTCTGGCCTCAGGTCAGCCACAGCCCTGGTCCCTGGCCTCCTGGGCTGTGCTATTTCCCCGAGAGTTCCTGGTGGCTGAGTGTGCCACCTCTGCGTGTGAGGATTGTCACGTGGCCCCAGCGACCTCGCCTGCCTCCCACCAACCCCTGTGACCCTGTCTGTATGCAGGAAGGAAGAAGGGCTGTGGTGGAGGCCTCTTTATAGTCTAATCTTAATGAAGTCTGATTCCATGTATTTTGTTGACCTTTAAAAATTGTTCAAGGGCTGCTTTCTTTGAAGAGACATTCGTTATCAGTCTCCACTGGCGTGATTCAATCAACAGTCTAATTTCTTTCTAGTGAGCGTATGCTAGTGAGATGAGCCGTGAGGGGGGGAGCACGTGGATATCAGGGCTCTGGGCTGGGCCTGGGGACACAACGAAGAGTAGAAATGACATTTAGTTTGAGGAACGCTCAGATAACCAGGAGAGAGAGGTATATTCAGACGTACGTGCCAGGTGACGAAAGAAGCAGTAAAGGACATTCAAGAAGAAGGGAGAGGCGAACCGGATGCCTCCTGAGATGGTCCAGGAGGGCTTACAGGGGAGGGTGCTGAGCCAGGAAGCTGAGCTCGCTGGGCAGAGGGAGCTGCTGGTAGAAAAGGAATCCGGGCAGGGGAGAGCCTGGTGTGTTGGAAGGTCAGTATGGCTGGACTGGAAGGTGTGGGTTGGAGGGGAGACTGGAGGGAGGTGTGTTTGGAGCACTGGGCAGAGGCCGCAGCTCTGAGATGGTGGCCTGTCCATGAGGGTGCTTAAACTACCCTGAACACATGGCAGGAGAGGATTTCAAAGGACCTAAATTTCAGGGAATTTGGACTGCCTGTAGAAATAGCTAAGAAACACAGATTTTTCAGGGAAAAAAAAATTGGTTAGGGTTTAAATTGGGTCTCCAGCCCTGACATATGAAGTAACCTTACCAACCTAGAAACGTGGAACCTACTTTCCCCTATGGCCTGTAGGTTCGGAGCACATGAGCACTCCCAGCAGGCTCTGCTGGGTTTTCTTTGACCCAGAGCTACTTGGTGCCACAGGGTAATTCACGACTCTTTAATTGTGTCCCCATAGGAGAACTCTGCTGAGGACCTCCTGAGGTTAACGTCTAAGAGTTTGCCTGATCTGACCAGCTCAGTAGAGGACGTGTCCTCTTGGACCGACAACGAAGACCAGGAGCCAAACGGGGAAGAAGACGAAGGACCCGGCTCGTCTTCTGTCCGGGGAGCAGTAAGTGTCTCTGGTTTCCCCAGCTGCTGTGCTGGAACGATGTTTCCCCAAAGATGGTGATGGCAGGATCAGAGATAATAGCTTAAGACAGTAGGATAGAGACCGGCATGGGAGTGGGCCACAGGGCGTTCTTTTTATTTTATTTATTTATTTATTTTTAATCAGGATCTTCCCAGACAAACCTGTGAGGGTAATGATTTCCATTTAAGAAAAAAACACTGAAACTGGAAATGAGACGAGAGAGCAATTGCATATTAAGTGCACTGCACGTATCAATTTTTAGGACACTTAGTCATTCATATATACAAGAGGATTTTATTGCTACTTTTTGATGTAGTGTTTGAAAATGATTGGTTGTGAATTTAAACTTAGACGGGGAGATTGTGGTCGAGAGTGGAATGTTCCAAAGGCGCAAAGCTCGTTCGGGCACAGAGGTGTGGATAAGTCTTACGGTTTTAAGGAAACCAGGACTCTCGCCAGGCTCTTCCTAACACAGCCTGTGCGTTTCACACCCCCATGGTCTGCTGCACCGGGCACGCGGGGTCAGGACGGCTTTTGGCAAACTGAGGTTGCAGTGTGGCCCCCTGTTTCCTCTCTGGATCCCAGATCTGACAGATGTGGCATTTTTAGCGTCAGCTCTTGTTAGCTCTTGTTCCCCCCCCAACCAGCCATGGGGTGGGGACTCCCTTCTGCCATTGGAGCCCCGTAGTCTTTCCCACCAGCGCTAAACCCAGGCAGCATGGGTGAGCATCGGAAAATTTATTGTGGTTATAATTGGGCCTCAGAAGACCAAAAAATGCATGTTTTGTTACATTTACATCATATGTAATTGTATGGCATATGTAATATGCCATTTTATTTTAAGGAAGAAAATTTGCTCTTCTCCTTTCTTTTCGATCCCCGGACATCCAGGGCCACCGAGCACGGCTGTGCGGCTGTGGGCTGCACGTGTGTTACCTCGAAGCAGCACCATTCACTTCGTAAACATCATAGGCTTTTCTGTTCATTAGGACAATTTTCTGAAAGATGGCAATAAAGAGTTTTGTTCTAACAAATTCAATATATTGGGACAATTTTCCAGTCAAGGAGGGAAAGCCGCTCAAAGAAGAGATACCTTTTTGTAATTTGCCCACAGGCACTGTATAAGCCCATTGTTGATCTGAAACATTTTTCTAGCTGCTTTTCCTTCAAAAGAGAACTTTCTCAGAACAGTAACCTATAAAGTAAATAAATCAGAACTGAATGAATAAAGTTAAGGTGAACAGTTTAAAAACAACCGCGTGATTATTCCCATCTCTTTGTATTTTGACACCATTCTGTGGCTGCCCTTAATTTTATGTTTAGTAAGGGCAGAGACCAAACTAATTTTCGTGGCCTAGACTGCTTCTCTGACGCCTGCTTAACTTCTCAAAACTTATTTCTCACTGAGCTCATCATCACTCCTAAGCAACCACCACACCACCCTTCCTGTGGACCCTCTAGAAGACTGCATGCTTTTCTACCACAGGACCTTTGCAAATGCTATTTTCTCTCTCTTTCTTTCTGGAATCTTCTGCCTGAACAAGATGATTCCTATTCATCTTTGAATAGGAATTGAATTTGAATCATCTTTGATGATTCCTATTCATAGTGTTACTGCCTCAGAGAAACTTCTCCTGAATGCACCCATGTATATTAAATCTCTTTGCCCTCAGCATGAGTAGGTGGCTGGCTCTCCTGTGAACCACTTGTCACACTTGGGTTTGTGATTATTTGATTAAGATCTGTTTCTCCCAACCAGTTCTAAGCTCCATGAGGTAACGTGATGACTAGACTGGGGTCCCGATGAATCTCTAGAGTTTACCCACTACATCTGGTACTGAGTTATAAATAACGAAATGAATTTAAAAACAAACAACAGAATGAGTGTTCATTGAATGCTAATGAAAATGACACACAAATCTGACTGGATTTATCCACCATAAGAATTTTGTTTACTCCAAGGTCCACAACTGACCACAGCATTGGCAGCCTCAAAGGGTCTTGGGTTCCTATCAACATTCTAGCCCCCTTAGGCAGGGGACGGTCCTTGAATAAGCCTTGAATGGACCTGAGCACCCAGTGTCTTCTCCCCACCACCTCTTTGAAGATGACTTATCAAATAAAGGGTTAGTGTCCATATATAATGAACTTACACAACTCAACACCAAAACCATAAATAATCTAATTTTTAAAATGGGCAGAAGACATGAACAGATGTTTCTCCAAAGAAGACATGCAGATGGCCAAGAGACATTTGAAAAGATGCTCAACATCATCATCATCAGGGAAATGGACATCAAAGCCACAATGAGTTATCACCTCAACCCTGTCAGAACTGCTGAGGTTGAAACAAGTGTTGGGGAGGATGTGGAGAAAGGGGAACCCTCACACACTATTGGTGGGAACGCAAATGGGTGCAGCCACTTTGGAAAAACGTTAAAAATATAACTACCATATAATCCAGTAATTCCACTACTGGGTATTTACCCGAAGAATACAAAAAACACTAATTCAAAAAAAAATACGCATCATTATGTTTATTGTAGCATTGTTAACAATAGTCAAATTATGAAAGCAGCTTGAGTGTCATCTGCAGATATCTTCTCCCATTCGGTAGCTCATCTTTTAGTTTTGTTGGCTATTTCCTTTGTTGTGCAGAAGTTTATTTTGATGAAGTCCCAGTAGTTCATTTTGGCTTTTGTTTCCCTTGCCTCGGGAGACACGTCTAGAAAAATGCTGCTATGACGGATGTCAGAGAAATTACTGCCTGTGTTCTCTTTCAGATTTTTAGTATTACAGGTCTCACATTTAGGTCTTTAGCCACAAGTGTGTGTGTGTGTGTGCGTGTATGTGTGTGGCATAGGAAAGTGGTCCAGCTTCATTTTTTTGCATGTTGCTGTCCAGTTTTTCCAACACCATTTGTTGAAGAGACTCTCTTTTCCCCATTACATATTCTGGCCTCCTTTGTCATTAATTAATTGACCATATAGTCATGGCTTTGTTTCTGGATTTTCTATTCTGTTCCATTGATCTAGGTGTCTGTTTTTGTGCTACCACACTATTTTGATCACTACAGCTTTGTAGTATATCTTGAAATCTGGGATTGTTGATCCCTCCTGCTTTTTACTCCTTTTTCAAGATTGCTTTGGCTCTCTGGAGTCTTCTGTGGCTCCATGCTATTTTTGGGTTTTTTGTTCTAGTTCTGTGAAAAATGCTGTTGGTATTTTGATAGGGATTGCGTTAAATCTGTAGATAACCATATATATATATATATATATATATATATACACATATATATATTTAAGATTTATTTGTGGGGGAGAAAGAAAGAACATGTGTGCATATGGGGGTGAGGGGACTACTGGGGAGGGGCAGAGGGGGAGAGGGAGTCTTAAGCAGAAGGATCAACACAGGGTTCGATCCCACAACCACAAAATGACAACCTGAGCTGAAACTAAGAGTCAGACTTAACCAACTGCACCCCCTAGATGCCACAGCCCATGTGTATTTTTAATTGATTTTATATTAACTTCTGAAACTTGGTAGGATCTCAGTGATATAATCATGAACATTTCCCCCGTGTCACTAAAGGGGCTTCTGAAGCATGATTTATAATGGCTAATATTCCACAACATAGAAGTGCCATAGCTTATTTCACCAGTTTTCTACCAGAAATTCTGTTTTCATCAATCACATGTATATTTGATTTTTTCAAAGTTATAAAGAATGCTATACAGAATAGCTTCACCCATATACCTCTGTGCACATTTTTTATTTTCCTATTTTCTTAAATAGCTTAAGCAGAATTGCATAGTCAAAGGTTTTCTCCAGAGAGGTTGTTTATTACTAATTTAGTGATCTAGCAGTGGCCAGTTCCCATCATCACCAATAACATTATCTTAAAAAAAAAGGTTTACCGATTAATCATATTGTTTTGTATGTTTATTGTACTTCTGCCAAACGCGTGTCAGTGCGTTATGTGAGAACATAATTTATTTGGAAAACCCAGCACTAACTCTCCACAAGTCAGTGTTTCAGTGCCGTCCGTTAGGAGACCTCCGTCACATCACCTGGGGCTTTCATAGACAAATCCCAAATCCATTATCCGTTGAAACCCAAACTGATCCTGCCTTAACAGTTCTCCCTTCTCGGAGCCTCAACACCACCTCGCACACTTGGCCTTCTGCTCTGCTTCTCCGCAAAGCACTCCCCGAGAGGGGACACCTGGGTTTCTCCCTGGCTCCCCAGTAAGGCCGCAACACCAGTCACGTGTCACCATCCTCTTGCGCTCTGGCTTCAGCCAGGAGAACGGAGGCGGAGACAGAGCCCTGCAGGACCGGCTGGAGGGCCGCTGATGCGAAGTACTTTCTGGATCTCACGGTGTGCCCAGGGTCTGCCCCACAGTGCCTTACAAACGTACTGAACCACTGTGGGGAGAAAAATTCTCTTTCCGTTCTATGTTTATAACACAGCACCTCTGTTTCATCATTTTTTAAATACGAATGCGCTATTTAAATGAAAGAAACCTGGTACTGTTTAATCAAGTTCAAAAGCCTTTTATTTCACAGATGATAATGATTAGACCGCTGCCAGACTGCACTCAGACGTTGACTGGTTTTGCACCTGTAAGTCACGGTGAGCTCCAAGCACTTGGCTGAGCGAATGTAACACAAATGCTGAGGTTGTGTGATGAACACCCTTAGGATTTACTTTTCATGGCTGCGATGGACAGCAAGGAGATTTTCCTTCCAAAACGGTCCAGCTGTGCTTGGAATGAAACCACATGGTGGATATCAAATTTGAAGAGTAGAGGCAGGGAAAAGGGAATGGGAGCGGGACAGTGAAATGCTATGGTCATTTGCATAATTGTCGTCCATCTCAGAGGGGTCTGGCTTCAGTGACAGGGCTCCCTCTCCACCATCCATTGCTCACCCCTCCATATCCAGTGTGGAAGGCTGCCGCCTCCGCCATGCCGGCTG